ATTTCTTTTAAATTTTGATTCGTCACTACTATAAATAAAACAACAACAAATTCTCATGAAAGTATCATGTCGCCCGAAACGCCTAACCAACCAACCAACCCCACAATATTTATCTGATGATAAGACCTGCTATTTGATGTTCTTACGTACGTATGAATGTTTGGTTCAAGTACAGGCAGCCAGACAGAGGCAAATCATGCAACTTGCTGCATATATCGTTTCGGTCGGTATATGTTTAAATTGTATGTACAATGCACACAAGAACCTCGAGTATTAGAATCATTATTGCAGCAGGTGGTATAGCGTTACAGTTAACAATAGAGAAGAACTCTTGGTTGGTAACCCTTTACGTGTTATAAATGAAATTGTATTCGGAAAAATTGGGGGAGTCGGCTCCTCGTACCATAAAACAATTGTACCATTTATAGTCTGCTGCAATTACATACTACGTACTGATTCGTGTATACAGTTAGTCAACAATGTGTTTGCATACTAAAGGCGGCAAGTATGCAAAATCTGTTTGTAATAACATTTCTTTCCAAATGTTGATCGATTTAAAGTGCAATACTCAGCCGATTTGATTCCAACGTAATGCTCGTGTCAATTTCCCGGCTTTCATGTTTGTCATTCAACAGGTATCCATAGTCGTAGGTTGTCGAAATATCTGAAATCCATTAAAGAAACTTTCGTTCTAAAACAGCAGTGCCCAAAATAGGTCCCATGGGCTGTCGGTATGTGTCAAAACTCTCACACACACAATGATAAGAATAGAAACGAAAAAAATTAGGACATTTTTGGAAAAAATTAGTTCAGAAAAAGTCGAAATATGTGACAAATACAATTAAGTTTGGCAAAACAGAAGCAAATCTATCTTTATATAGGAAAATATATCATTAAAAAGCATATTTGCATTGAATACAAAATGTTTTTCTGTCTTAAAATTTGAAATACAAGTTTTTACAATTTTTCTCACAGCATAATAAGAGAGAAACATAAATTTGAAAATTCTGTATTTGAAACAAATACAATAACAAACATTTGCATGTATTAGTGTGGACAGCCCTGTTCTAAAATGACATTTTTGTTTGGAAAAACGGTTTCGGTTAGCCAACATTTTCAAATTTTCCAAAACAGTTTCGGTTATTATATTTTTCATAACTCAAAATTAAAACAATTTTGTCTCCCTTATTATCCAATAAAAACAGATTTATTGTTTTCATATTTGAGTTTTTTTTTAATTTTTTAATAACATAACTTTTTGTTGCTAACATAACTTTGTTGCAAATTTTGGTGCCTAGCAGTTTTTAACAGCTCTGACATTCCATTTTGAAGTCAGAGTCGTTTTTTTATGAATATGTTTGTAAATTTTATTAAGAATATCAAGAAAAATTTAGCGTACGCACGCGCTACAAAATTTTCTCTTTAAACATTGGATATCAGTTTCGATATGAAATTTCTGCGAATTGGCTGGAGATAAAAATGCGGATTTTTTAACAGCTATAATGGGTTATTCAAGATTATATTGACATTTATTTTTTTGAGAAAAAAATTCTAACATATACTCTTTTAACTTTGAACACCGTCACGAACATGTTACACTCGTAACGCACTGTTTTACTTAAACACTGTTTAATTTAAAACGGAATATTTTAAAAATGCTAATTCTTATACTCGACACAACTATGTTGTTGGGGTATTATAGCTTTGTGTGGCCCCAAGACCTTTAGTAAATCATTATGCAGTTATGAACGAAAATTTTGCCTGTAAATCCGGTTCTAAATCAACTTATTGAGTAAGAATGTAACATGTGCGTGGCGGATAAAAAAAATTTTCGATGGAGATAGAAGACAAACTTTGTTATATTTCAGTTTGTCATCTCAAGATCCACTAACAACAGCATTATCAAAAAAATTATTTTGTATTAGAGTCTGTATAGAAACATATGTTAATTTTGTCACGCACGCGTTACTTATTTTCATACACTATTTAACTGCACTTACGACGGGATTCTGTTGTTATATATATATATATATATATATAGTTACGCCTTTTTGCATTTTAGCTAACGATATATTATATTCAACTAAAAATATATTGTCCGGATTGCAAAGAATATTTCCTATATAATTTCATATCTCTCTTAACGAATTGATTTTTCACCTATGTGGTTGACCTTTTTGTGGAATTCGTGATATATATATATTTTTTGTTTTGAGTCAAACATTTTCTTACGCAAACAAAACACTCGAATCCTTTAATTAGAATTTAATAAAAACTGAAATTACTATTAAATTTTGTCTTAATCTTAACCGGAAACCCCGTACATGTACGCTATGAAATTAAATATTTTGAATATATTATTTAAATAGTTTGTTGACAAACTGTATGCACATATACTTTTAAAAATTGTCCAATGTATCAACAAAAAACGGAAACCGGAAAATAAAATGGCATAATTATAAACGTGCGCAGAAGGAAATACATTTTGATTGATTGAAAATTTTCCATATATATATATGTTGTTTAGTGATAACAAGTTTGTAGAAACAATAATTGCGAAGATAAATTTAATGCTACAATTCAAAAATTATGATTAAAAATATAGAAACAATAAATTATTGGCTATTATATACTCTTAAACAGCAAAAGGTTCTGAATGATCCATTTAATATTTCGCACTAAGTGTCAAATTTTTCACACAAAGTGTCAAATTGTTCACACACTGATGGTATAATATTAACATTTTCTCTTTTGTCAAATTAAACTTATTGTAAGAAGAAATCATTACGGAGGGCCCTACTACGCTCCAGTCATCAACACTCATCCCTTGTTATAGCAAAACATGAGTTATAATTGTCTATGCTATGCTGTCAGATTTTTGGGTTGAATCCATCCATGCCATCTAAAATTAAATATTATAAAAAAGTCGTTGACAATATATTTTTTGATAAGTCTTTTCAAATTTGTATTCCTTAAAAGTTTGTTACTACATATTTATTTATATGGTATAAACATACCGCAATAAATTCATTTCAAATAACAATAAAAATCCTTATATAGTATTAATAATAATTTGGTAATAATTGCCATAAGTTTGTGTTACTTAATTTATTTCTTCCGTGTATTTTTTTTAAAATAACTTTATAAAACTTTCATAAATCAATATAATTTTTAACAATTTGTACAATTTATTGGAAATTATAAGTTGAGAGAGAAATTTTGAGTAATCGAACATTTCTTAAGTGATAAAATTTAATCAGTAAGGATTTGCATGTTTTTTTTTTTTTTGAAATTTATAAAAGTCTCAAACTTTTCAACAATAATCCGATTTATTAAATTATTATGGAAGTTTATTATAGTCACTGGAATTTAATTTATTTATAGTTACAAAGATGAGCCTGAGTTGTGAGAGAACATTTATAAATCTTCTCATGAAATAAACAAAAAATATTTCACACTAAATTTAGTGGTTTCTCAATCTATGAGAATAATATTTGCCCTGCAGTATTTTCGATCATTCCCAATGTAGGTCCATGTATATGTTAATACATATACATGGTGTGTGTGTGTCTGTTTTTTCTATACTTGTTTGTATTTTATTCTCACTCTTTAATAGAAATACTTCGTGTGTGTGTTTTTTTCTAATCGGCGTATTTTATCTATTGACTCTTAACTGATTCCCCCATTTGATACGATAAGTTAAAGGCACTAAAGAACATACTAACTTTTGTAGCCACTAAATATTTATTTTATATGTCAATAATGATGTATTTGTTTGTGGTATATGTTTTTTTAGAGATAATATAGTTGGAACCGCTGTCGGGAGTGTTATGAAATATGTACAATTGAAAAATTCAATTTTAATTCAATTGAGTGCTAAGCACACATTTTCACACCTTGCCTATTTTCATTTTGATTGGATTCGTATTTATTTGAGAACATATTATGAATCATTTTCTTTTCATATTTCTGGTATTTCACATCATATAGGAGGAATGGCTGGCTGCAAGACGCCTACTCCACATTAAATGTTTTGGAAAATAAAATTGTGAAATTATTCTTCATTGAAACATATCGTATATATTTTTGGCTATATTCGTAGCATTTTTAAAAAATGTAAATCGCAAAAGCCAAAAATTATATATGAAAAATGTTTTGATTTTTGATTCTACATTTTTTAAATTGTTTTCTTTTCCCAATTCATATAAGCTCATAAACGTAGTATAAGTACGTTTATATTGTACCGGATTTATTAAATACTTGGTCTGTTCCCTTACTGCTAGAATCTACTACTTTTTACTACGATAACGAATTTTTCTTTATGATATCGAAGGAAATAGTAAAATCGAGTAGATTCTTGCAGTGCGGGAATAGAACAACTGTAAAACTTAATTTTCAATTCCTTTACATATATGTCAAATAAATCCTCGTAGAAAAAAATAACTCGAAATTTTATAGAGCTATAAATTAGTACTAATATCCATCCCTAGTTCAAAAGTATACATATGTACAGATCATACTAGCAGAAGCGGATGGCCACTTTTTTTACTCTAATTGAGGAACCAATGACATTATTTTTTTATTGCTACAACTAATTAAATTATACATCAGTAATTGTATAATTTTTAAATAACATATTTTTTTTACTTAGCATTTTCACTTTATATGAGATCATCCCGGCACTTTGTAAATATGTAGGTTGTGGGTTGGATGGAAACAAATTTCCAAATAAACATATTAGATTACTTAATTAGCATTGGTTAATTGTATAGAATATTCGTTCGTATGGCATTTGTTTGGAATTGTTTTTGACGTCACGGTCAGTCGTGTTTTAATGACGTGTATGTGTGCGTTATGTGTTAGATAACAATGAGGCCGATTGGCAAGAATAAAACATCGACTTGTTACCCAATATTCATCGCCAACTCGAAGATCTTTAGCTATTGATTACTTTTTCATTTACTGATATCTCCTTTGTCGTGTAATTTTTTTAATTGCAGAAATTGACTATCGAAAGCAATGACGACGGACATTTCAATTGTTCGATGGGACCCTAGTCAGGGTCCTGGCAACGAATACATCGACGAATATGAATACGATGGTGGCAACTCCAGTTCACGATTATTTGAGCGTTCACGTATCAAGGCCTTGGCCGAAGAACGTGAAAGTGTACAAAAGAAGACATTCACCAAATGGGTGAATTCGCACCTGTGCCGTGTCAACTGCCGAATATCAGACCTGTACGTTGATATGCGCGATGGCAAGCATTTAATAAAATTACTGGAAGTATTGTCCGGCGAAAGGCTGCCGAAACCAACAAAGGGCAAAATGAGAATTCACTGTTTGGAAAATGTGGACAAAGCACTGCAATTTTTGCGCGAGCAACGTGTACATTTGGAAAATATTGGTTCCCACGATATTGTCGATGGTAACGCATCGTTAAATTTAGGTTTAATTTGGACCATTATTTTGAGATTCCAAGTAAGTGCAACAAGAGGCGGCACAGTCAATTTATTACGCCTTTCCTTTTTCAAACGATAACCATATTGTATTCTAACGTTTTTGTTTCGCCCCTTTTTTCATTCCTTTTCAAATTCTAGATCCAAGATATTACTATTGAAGAGGTAGACAATAAGGAAACCAAGTCAGCCAAGGACGCTTTACTGTTGTGGTGTCAAATGAAAACAGCAGGATATCACAATGTCAATGTGCGCAACTTTACAACATCGTGGCGTGACGGTCTTGCCTTCAACGCCATTATCCACAAACACCGTCCTGATTTGGTACAATTTGAAAAATTGTCAAAAGCCAATCCAATTCATAACTTGAACAACGCCTTCGATGTGGCTGAGGACAAGCTTGGCTTGGCAAAACTTTTGGACGCAGAGGATGTGTTCGTAGAGCATCCTGATGAGAAATCCATCATCACCTATGTGGTCACATACTACCATTACTTCAGCAAGCTGAAGCAAGAGACTGTGCAGGGCAAACGTATTGGCAAAGTTGTTGGCATAGCCATGGAAAATGACAAAATGATTCATGACTACGAACATTTCACAAGTGACTTGTTGAAGTGGATCGAAACAACAATCCAAGCCTTGGGCGAACGCGTTTTTGAAAACTCCTTAGTGGGTGTGCAAGGCCAGTTGGCCCAATTTTCTAATTATCGCACCATCGAAAAGCCACCCAAATTTGTCGAGAAGGGAAATTTGGAAGTTCTCTTGTTTACACTGCAGTCGAAAATGAGAGCCAATAATCAGAAGCCATACACTCCCAAGGAAGGAAAAATGATCTCCGATATTAACAAGGCCTGGGAGCGTTTAGAAAAGGCAGAGCATGAACGTGAGTTAGCATTGCGAGAAGAATTGATCCGCCAGGAGAAATTGGAGCAGTTGGCTGCTCGTTTCGACCGCAAAGCTTCTATGCGTGAGACTTGGTTGTCGGAGAATCAACGTCTGGTTAGCCAAGATAACTTCGGTTTCGATTTGGCTGCGGTTGAGGCTGCCGCCAAGAAACACGAAGCCATTGAAACTGATATATTCGCCTATGAAGAACGTGTTCAGGCCGTGGTAGCTGTATGCGATGAATTGGAATCGGAACGCTACCATGATGTCAAGCGCATCTTATTGCGCAAGGAAAATGTAATGCGCCTGTGGAACTATTTGTTGGAGCTTTTGCGCGCTCGTCGTATGCGTTTGGAAATCTCCCTCCAATTGCAACAAAACTTCCAGGAAATGTTATACATTCTCGATAATATGGAAGAAATCAAGCAGCTGTTGTTGACCGATGACTACGGCAAACATTTGATGGGAGTTGAGGATCTATTGCAAAAGCACTCGTTGGTTGAAGCCGACATCAATATTTTGGGCGAACGTGTCAAAGTTGTGGTACAAAATTCACAGAAATTCCTGAGCGACGATCCAGAGTCATATAAGCCATGTGACCCTGAAATTATTGTCAGTCGTGTCCAACAGTTGGAGGATGCCTACGCTGAGTTGGTGCGATTGGCTGTCGAACGCCGCAGTCGTTTGGAGGAGAGCCGCAAGTTGTGGCAATTCTATTGGGACACTGCCGACGAAGAGAACTGGATCAAGGAGAAGGAACAGATTGTTTCTACCGACGATATCGGTCACGACTTGACAACCGTGAACTTGTTGCTCAGCAAGCACAAAGCCTTGGAGTCGGAGATTACCTCGCACGACCCTCAACTGCAAAATGTTGCAAAGGTTGGTGCCGAGCTTATTACCGAAGGCCACTTTGGTGCCGATAGAATTAAGGATCGCCTTAAGGAAATCTTATCCAAATGGGATCATCTGCTTGACTTGACCAAATACAGACGTCAACGCCTCGAAAATGCTGTCGAGTACTTCCAGCTGTTCGCCGATGCCGACGATGTCGACAACTGGATGTTGGACACATTGCGCATTGTTTCAAGCGAAGATGTGGGTCGCGACGAAGCCAATGTCCAATCGTTGCTTAAGAAACACAAAGATGTTGCTGATGAGCTTAAGAACTACGCCGAGGTCATTGATGCTCTACACAAACAGGCAGAGACCCTTAAACTCAACGAAACTGAGAAAGCTAATGTGGACAAACGCCTTGAAGCCATCGACACCCGCTACAAGGAGCTTACCGAACTCGGAAAACTGCGCAAGCAACGCTTGTTGGACGCTCTCAGCCTGTACAAACTCATGTCTGAAGCTGACGGTGTCGAGCAATGGATCAAGGAAAAAACCAAGATGTTGGATACCATGGTACCTGGTAAAGATATCGAAGACGTTGAGATTATGAAGCATCGCTTCGAAGGCTTCGACAAGGAAATGAACGCCAACGCTTCCCGCGTCGCCGTTGTCAATCAATTGGCCAGACAGTTGTTGCACGTCGAACATCCCAACTCTGATGAAATTTTGGAACGTCAAAATCGTCTTAACGTGGAATGGTCGAATTTGCGCGAGAAAGCCGAAGCCAAAATGGACGAGCTTAAATCTGCTCATGGCGTCCAAACGTTCTACATTGAATGTCGAGAAACTATTTCCTGGATTGAAGACAAGAAACGTATTCTCACTGAAACTGACAGCCTGGAAATGGATTTGACCGGCGTAATGACATTGCAGCGAAGACTAAGCGGCATGGAACGTGATCTGGCTGCAATCCAAGCTAAACTTTCCAGTCTTGGCAAGGAAGCCGACAGCATTGAATCCGACCATCCAGAAGAGGCGCAAATCATTCGCGATCGCATTGCCCAGATTGAGCTCATTTGGGAGCAGTTAACTCAGATGTTGAAGGAACGCGATTCCAAGTTGGAAGAGGCTGGCGATTTGCACAGATTCTTGAGGGATTTGGACCACTTCCAGACCTGGTTGACCAAGACACAAACCGATGTGGCCTCCGAAGATACTCCAACATCGTTACCAGAAGCTGAACAGTTGCTCAATCAGCATCAATCTATTCGCGAAGAGATCGACAACTACACCGAAGATTACAAGAACATGATGGAGTACGGAGAACGATTGACTTCAGAATCGAACACATCCGATGATCCACAGTACATGTTCTTGCGCGAGCGCTTGAAGGCTCTTAAGGATGGTTGGGAGGAATTGCACCAAATGTGGGAGAACCGCCAAGTCTTGTTGTCTCAAAGTCTCGATCAGCAACTATTCAACCGCGATGCCCGTCAAACCGAGGTATTGCTCAGTCAGCAAGAACACTTCCTCAGCAAGGACGACACTCCTGTTAATTTGGAACAAGCAGAAAATCAACTTAAACGCCACGAGGCCTTCCTCACCACAATGGATGCCAATGACGACAAAATTAATACTCTCCTGCAGGTTGCAGACACATTGGTCGAGAAGGAACACTTTGATGCCGAAAAGATCGGCAAGCGTGCAGAAAATATTGCCAGCCGTCGCGAAGATAACCGCAGAAGAGCTCTGGAGCAACACGAAAAGTTGAAGAATCAAGTAAAACTCCACGAATTCTTGCAGGACTTGGATGAGTTGTCAGAATGGGTGCAGGAGAAATATGTTACCTCTCAGGACGAGACATACAGAAGTGCAAAAACTATTCATTCCAAATGGACCAGACATCAGGCATTTGAAGCTGAAATTGCTGCCAACAAAGAACGCCTCTATGAGGCAGAAAAGGCCGCTGAGGAATTGTCCAAGGAAAAGCCAGAATTCAAAGATGTCATTGAACCAAAACTAAAGGAGTTGGCAAAACAATTTGAAGATCTTGAAACCCACACTAAAGAGAAGGGCGCCATGTTGTTCGATGCTAATCGTGAAGTCCTTGTCCAACAGACTTGCGATGACATCGATTCCTACATTACCGAATTGGAAAAACAAATTGTCAGTGCCGATACTGGTAATGACTTGACATCTGTAAACATTTTGATGCAGAAACAACATGTGATACAGACACAAATGGCCGTTAAGGAACGTCAAGTCGAAGAAATCGACAAACAGACAGAATACCTTAAGAAGACCGTGCCCGAGGAGAAGATTGAACCCATTGTTACCAAGAAGATTGCGGTACTCGATCGTTTTGAAAAGATAAAGGCGCCATTGATCGAACGTCAAAAGCAGTTGGAAAAGAAGAAGGAAGCCTTCCAATTCTGTCGCGATATCGAGGATGAGAAATTGTGGATAAACGAAAAACTGCCAGTTGCCAACTCCACCGACTATGGCAACTCCCTCTTCAATGTGCATGTCCTGAAGAAGAAGAATCAATCGCTAGCTACAGAGATCGACAACCACGAACCGCGCATCAATGCAATTTGCAACAACGGCCGCAAACTCATTGACGAAGGCCACGAAGACGCCAAGAAATTCGAGGCTCTTATCAGCGACTTGACACAGAAATGGCAAGAACTGAAGGACGCTGTTGAGAATCGCAAGAAAAATCTATTGGAATCCGAGAAAATTCAACAGTACTTCTTTGACGCCCAAGAAGCTGAGTCGTGGATGAGTGAACAGGAATTGTACATGATGGTTGAAGACCGTGGCAAGGATGAAGTCAGTGCCCAGAACCTTATGAAGAAGCACGAAAATCTGGAACAATCCATTGAAGACTATGCCAACACAATTCGTCAGTTGGGAGAAGTGGCCAGCCAGTTCAACATCGACGATGTGTCCAGTGTGGATGCTGTTGCCGTGAAACAGTCGCAATTGGACAAATTATATGCCGGTCTTAAAGACTTGGCTGGAGAGAGAAGGGCACGTCTGAACGAAGCCCTTCAATTGTTCATGTTGAATCGTGAGGTGGATGATTTGGAACAATGGATAGCCGATCGCGAGGTCGTTGCCGGTTCCCAAGAATTGGGTCAAGATTACGATCACGTGACGCTGTTGTCAGAACGCTTCAGTGAATTTGCTCGCGACACAGAGTCCGTTGGTGGTGAACGTGTTGCTAAGGTCAACAGCATTGCCGACAATCTGATCCAAGCCGGCCATTCTGACTCGGCCACAATTGCAGAATGGAAGGACAATCTAAACGAGTCTTGGCAAGATCTTTTGGAACTAATCGAAACGCGCACACAGATGCTTGCCGCTTCCCGCGAATTGCACAAATTCTTCCACGATTGCAAAGATGTCCTTAGCCGCATCATCGAGAAGCAACATGGTGTGTCCGACGAATTGGGTCGTGATGCCGGCTCTGTTTCGGCGCTGCAACGCAAGCACTATAATTTCATGCAGGATTTGACGACCCTCTACGCCCAAGTACAACAAATACAAGAAGAATCGGCAAAATTGCAGGACTCCTACGCCGGGGACAAGGCCAAGGAGATTACAAATCGCGAAATGGAGGTCTTGCATGCATGGTCGAATCTGCAGGCCATGTGCGATGCACGCAAACAGAAATTGGCCGACACCGGTGATTTGTTCCGGTTCTTTAACATGGTACGAATTCTGATGATCTGGATGGAAGATTTGGTAAGACAAATGAACACCTCCGAGAAACCACGTGACGTTTCCGGCGTCGAGTTGCTTATGAACAACCACCAGAGCTTAAAAGCTGAAATTGACACACGTGAAGATAACTTCTCAGCTTGTATATCACTGGGCAAGGAATTGCTGACACGTAATCATTACGCTTCGGCCGATATTAAAGACAGACTTTTGCAATTGAATAACAGTCGAAATGCATTGCTAAGAAGATGGGAGGAACGTTGGGAGAATTTACAACTAAGTAAGTTTTTGTTTCATGTGTGTGTTTTTTTTTCTATTACTTGGGACTCCATTTTCAAATACCAAACAATACTGAATGTAATGTTCGTTTGCAGTTCTCGAAGTATATCAATTTGCCAGAGATGCTGCCGTTGCCGAAGCTTGGTTGATAGCCCAGGAACCATATCTATTGTCGTCAGAACTTGGCCATACAATTGATGAAGTTGAAAACCTTATCAAGAAACATGAAGCATTTGAAAAGTCTGCTGCTGCCCAAGAAGAGCGTTTCAGTGCACTTGAGCGTTTAACAACAGTAAGTTGAAGGGAAAATCGCTGCATTTTGAATACCATCTAAGAAGTGTTGTTTTGTCTATGTCCATCCTATAGTTTGAGCTTAAAGAAATGAAGAGACGCCAAGAATTGGCTGAAGAAGCAGAGCGACAGCGTATTAAGGAAGAGATGGAGGCTAAAGCAGCAGCCGAAGCGGCGGAACAGGCTAAACGTGAGGCTGAGAAACGAGACGTTGTCGATGTAGCAACATCCGAAGAAGCCGCTGGTAAGTTATATATCTATTATATTTTGTATTACTTTAGTGTGTTGTTGTCTTAGCTGTAGTTCATATCTGTTGTAGTAGCGAAGTTTCTTGTGTTTGTTCTAATTTTATTACATTGCATTGTGCACTTTTTATTTATTTATTTTTTTTTATTACAAATATGCTACAAATACTTTGTATTAGGGAAATAGTTATATCTCTAAGGTAACTTGCATCTTGTGTAGAGTACACAATTTCAATAGGAAAACTAGACTCTCAGGTGGTGCATAGGCATGCACAAGATTAAATATTTTATTGAGAATTTGATGATTTGTTTATTATTTCTACAATTGTTTGTAATTCACTCCGTCATGTATTTCATCGTGGTTAATTTAAACAAACTGTGTACTCGTTCTATTTGAGAGAAATTATTAGGAAAAATCTTTGATTTTTGATTTTTTTTATTTTTGGACCAGTTTTGGCGTTGTTTACAAATCACTATATTTAATTATTACATAGATTTTGGTCTTTGAGTTAGTGTACAATATGTCAATATTTATAAATATTTTGAACATTATTTTATTAATGCTTCGTGGAACATTAGCTGTGGTTGATACTGCAGCCGAAGTTGAGCGCACTGCAGAAACACAAACAGGTATTAACAGTACTAAATACTCAACTGTTTATAATCTTCACGCTGTTCATTATATACATATTTATATTTATAAAACAAATTATATTTCATTGCGATATTTTACTCATAATATTAATATTTACAGAACGAGCCGCCGCTGCTAGTGGCGAAGCTCATGAAGGCTATTTGACAAGAAAACACGAATGGGAGTCCACCACAAAGAAGGCATCAAACAGATCCTGGGACAAGGTATGTATTGGGCACATCTTTCCCTCTTTCTGCGTGAAATCTCATCTCAACTCTATGATATGTTTGTCTTTCTAACTTTAGGTTTATACAGTTGCAAAGAGTGGACGTCTTTCTTTCTTCAAAGAACAAAAGGGTTATAAGAGTAATCCTGAATTAACTTTCCGCGGAGAACCCGTGTATGACTTGCAAGGAGCCTCTGTTGAAATTGCCAGCGACTACACAAAGAAGAAGCATGTTCTAAGAGTCAAGTATGTATAACTGAGTAAACGCGTCAATATAAATTTATGTTCAACCATTATTTGAATTGTTCTTGCTTCCAAACAGACTTTCAAACGGTGGAGAATTCTTGTTGCAAGCCCATGATGACAATGAGATGTCACAATGGGTCTCTGCTTTGAAGGCCCAAAGTGATTCGGCAGCTGTTGCAGAAAGTAGATCCCAGACACTACCAGCCACATCGCAGAAGGACGAACCAAAGCGTAGATCATTCTTTACTTTAAAGAAAAAGTAAATTAGGTAGGGCAACAAAAAACAAAAACACCATAAAACAACACACACACACATTTACACAGCAACATTTATTTAACGCTTAAATAAATATAAAATTGTAAGGTTTAATAATTAAAATTATATATGACGAGAGATGAAAAGAGAATAATAGTTATTTATATTGCTTATATAATATAAAGAACCCCGATAAGTGCACGAAGAAAACAAAACAAAATGCTGCTATTAAATTTAAACTTACGTATATTGTATCTTATTTATTATTTAACAAACGTAAAATCCAACAAATTATAAGAAAACCAATCAAAAATAAAAAAATACAAAACTCATGTATGCATTTCAATGTATTCAAAATAAATAATAAATTTATTCCCTCTATATTATTTTAATGGCATATTTGCTTTCTTCAGAAGTACGGTACGGTATGTATAAATATGTGTGTTTTTAACGCATATATGACTAAATTGTTGATAAACATCGTAGTCGTCGTATATGGGCATTTCAGGGAAAATGTAGACCAAAGCCGTAGAACTTTTTTTCTTCAATCGTACTTAGGTACGTGAAGTTACGGAAAAAATAACAAAAAAGACAAACTTTTTTATATCTTCTTGTTTTACTAAATAAATACTAATTTAATGTATTTACTGCAGAATATTTGAAAATTCAGTAATATTGATAATTCTTATTTATGTAAAGAATATTTAAAGTTCAAAATGTTCACACAATTCGAGAAGTTTTCCCATTATTTGCAAGCATGTCAAAAGTCGCGTGATTGGCCGCTCTTTTGTGGCTTTTATCTCATAAGGCAAAAACAGGAGGCTCTCAATTTTTTTACTCAAAATACTACAAAAACATTAAGGGTGAATTGTAAAAAATTTGATGGTCCATGATTTATTTAACATTTAAAAGGCATGTACATTAAAACTTTTTATCGGGTTAACCATGGCATAATTATGGAAGGTAGTCTTATTTCAGAAATTTATAATGGCAACCCTTAGGTTAGGTTTGGGATGTACCGTTGTTAGTAACAACCGTCCACTCGGAGACTATTGTCCGTTGTGATCATCCTTTATACCTGAAAAGAGGACGGGAAAAGAACAGAGAGGGGAAGATTAGCCATGCCAGAGTTTTGACAAAACCTAGGATCTGGGGCCAAAGCACCGAATTCGTCATCGATTTCTGTTTCGTATAGAGTAATACATATTTCGATCGTTGTCAATTTTTGGATCACTGCATTCGATCGTAATTTATTTTGTCTACTACTTTTTTTACATTGCTGTAAACATATGGTAATAAGAAATTGGAAGGGAAAGAGGATGTCAAGAAATGTTTTCTGATTAAAATATGTTATTTCATAGAAATTCATATCGTTTTTGGGTTAAAATATGTGTACCAATTTATTATGAATATATTGTACTCATCAAAGGAGGAATTTAGTGGCTCTTTAATTTTGCTTGAGCACAGTTTTGCAACTTATTTTGGGCTAAGTCTTTATGCTCCAACATAAATTGAGCCAGTGCGTCTTTCTATTTAGCATTCACTTTGTTGAAGTTTTTTTTTTTTTTTTTGAAGCGGCTATTGAGCATTTTCTTTCCGTGTCCCCAAATGCAAATAATATATTTTCTTAAATGTATTTTGCCAAAATAAATAATACTTACATTTTCCGCGCAAAAATCACTAAGTATGTAGTTTTTGATAGCATACTACCTATCGTGTGCAACTTCGAGTAGAAACAATTCGATAACGACTGCGGTGATCCTGGTTGGGGTCTATTTTTGAGAAGAACGAAATACGGTTAATGTCTTCTGCCACTCAGCGATGGACATCGCGGATATGTTCAATTGTTTCTAGCTCTTCTTCGTCCTCATATAGACGACAGTAATCCTCTCCGCTGGAGTCCCATTTTGAAGTGAGAGATCTAATCCTGCAGTGACCTGTTATAATCCCCCCACAATGACTTTGATCTCTCTCTTGTTATGTGCCGACAGCGAAGAAGTTCCTTGGCGAGGAATTCAGGCCAGATAGCTTTTGAGATTCTACCTCGCCGTAGAACAATCGGATTTTGCCAATGAAATAGCCAATGGGTGGTTGCACAGATCTCTCAATCGGAAGATTGGATGATTGTGAGCCTCCTCGAGCAAGCTCGTCGGCTACCCAACATAAGTTAACTATCCGTCATATATCGTGCAGAGCGGACTTGCAATCAAGAACTTTTTTTGAATTTATAGTACACGACTTCAAAGCCTTGAAGGCTCCCTGACTATCGACATATCCCGTATTATCGGAAGTAAGTTTTTTACTATCTCGGCCGCTTTCCTAATTGCAATGATTTCTGCTTGAAAAACGCTACAAAGATTGTTAAGTTTATATGAGTTTTATATTTCTAATTCCCTACAGTGCCTGCACCAGTGCCTTCCTCCATCTTTGACCCGTCTATGAAAAATGACAGACCTAGGAAACATGGTATAATTATTACAAGGTAGGGCACAGCTACCAACTGATTACAATTTTTTGTCAACGTGGCTTGTTCCATCAAATCAAAATACATATTTGGTCTGTTTCCGTACTGGAAGAATCTACTATTTTTTACTCCGATAACACTTTTTTCCTTTAGATTCTTGCAGTGCGGGAACAGACCAATTTTGTGTATGTATGTGTATTGTTTTTAATAATATGTCAAATAAATTCAAAATAAATTGAAATATATTCAAACTTAATTGAAATTTTTAACACGTTCGTCTGGAAGTATTTACTTTGTTATGGATGAAACAAACATTTTATGTGAGTAATTCTCTTCAAGAAATCACAACCTGGCGTTATGTTGAGGATACTAGATTCCTCAATATCAAAGAACGCTGCCTAGGTGTAACCAGAGGACTACATATTATTCTCAATGCGTCCGTATCCACTGATGTGCCTTTGATTTATGCATACTGGGAGTTGCTAATTTTGCTTTGATCAATAGTATTTCTAATTTCTGAGTCTAGTAACCTTTCTAAAGTATTGAGTAGAAAGAAAAAGAGGGGCTAATCGGTCTATAGTCCCTTGGTAGCGTATGACTCGGCTGAAATAGGGTTGAAATAGGTTGATTCAACAACCTTCAATGATCCCCTAAACCACTGTGCTTACATTAGGATATATAAAAAATACGTGCATTTTTAAATTTTGGTTTTTTAAAGGTAAAATAAAAGACTTATATCAAGAAGAGAAAACGGAAACGTAAAATCATCACTTGAAGCTATTAGATTTAACAGAGACGGAAAAGGAAAGCACACGAGCAAATAACATAATGTAGAAATTTTAGCATAGGGGAGATAGTAGGAGAGAGACACAAATGATGTGAGCAACGAGATGTATTGTTGCACAAAGAGCCCACCCAACCATGGTTGCAAAAAAATTGGATGTCGAATTTTGCAGCTGGTGATGGGACGGCAGAGATAGAACTATTTGAAATATTTTCAAAACTGCTACTAGAGGCCAATGCAGGGCTTCATGGTCCATTGGAATTTGCACATGCAACAATATCCGACTGCATTTGTGATGACTGAGTAGTTGTTGTATTTGGACTATTGTCTGAATTATTAATACAGGCAACGCAAAATTGTTTTATTTGGTTAATGTCATTTTCTTGCAAACTTGCGGCAGGAGGATAAAGAAAAAATGCTGCCTTGTGCAATATACTTAGGGTTTTTACCCAAATATCTTCAATATTAACTAAAATATTCTCTTTTAAAGCTATAATGGCAGGAAAGTATATGCCATTGGGTGCACAAATGCCTTTGATTTTATAAATTAATGGCAAAACAAAACACAGTAGTAGTTTTTTGAAAATGATTTCAAAATCATTACAAAGTTCAACAAGAACCTTCATTGACAGCTGAAAAAGGTCTACAGTCTTCAACTGCCCATGTTGCACATACATCAACGACGGACAGATTTTTCTTGTGCCGTTATAGTTTTTAAAACGGTCGACTGCTTCAGCACTTGGCAACATTTATGCCTAAGTAGATTTGACGTTTGATGACCATATAGTTTACATATTTTGTGGCATGTGCGGCAGTACACAAACCCATCCACAATTGTTCCATCTTCTTTTACTATTTGAAAAAACACATTAAGCTCCTTCCTTTGTGCTTGTCGGATAAGGTGTAATTTTTTTGAGCAATTTTTTCCCCAATAGTGGTTTGATCCTCCGATATTTCGTAAAATCTATTTATAATTTGTTTTATTTTTTTACTTACGCATCGAAATTTTGTGACCTTTTATGATATACTTACTTGAAAATAATTTCTTATTATTAAAAATTTTGTTATCACTATAGCTGTATTTAATTTATAATTAGATGTTTACTCTTCTTCATACGTGTGAAAACTGGATTGTCATAGTTCATTCTAAAATTAACTGATCATAAAAACAAACATCACTCATAGAGTAGTACCGTTATGATGCGGTGCATCGCATTGAGTCAATTCTTTTGCGTTGTTTGCATTGATTTATGCATTGTTTATGTTCTCCCGCACTCACATGCATAAAAACACTCTTAACGAAGCCGGCACAGCAGTTTTTATACGAAGATATGATGTGAATGGAAAACATCGGTAAAGTGAGAGCCAACAATGGCAGTATTTTGACGAATGACCGAGTGTTGACTATACTATACCGTATCATTTTTAGTTGCGTTAAGTATTACTATCGCTTTATTTTATGCATAACGCAAGTCAAAAAAAGCTACCGCATGTCCATCTCTGGTTGCAACAAGTCGGATCCAAGTAAAGAGAAATTGTAGTTGCAACCCCTAAAATGTCCATAACAAACCTTCGCCTACATTACAGATAACTCAAACAGATCTTCTTCAGTTTATTCAGAGTTCATTTTTCTCTTTATTACAAAAATCTCAAATTTGAAAACAATCATAAGAATAAATACTACAATTTTTAAATTTTGTTTTTGGAAAATAGTCAGGCTGAATCCCAGTTTGTTGTTTTTATAAAAAACAACTATTTATTATTAGACAATAGTTTCGGATCACGCCACTGATCCTCATCAGTTCCCTTAGTTTTTTGTTGGGATATTCTCCCCAGAAGCTATTGCTTCTATACAAAAACCTTTCATACCCAAATGTCTCTTGTAACAAAGCGAAGTACTTAGCTGACCAACGACATAAACTGCATGAGAATTTCGCTGGTGCCTCTCTTCAAGGTTAACAAGGCATTTACAAACAATTCCATATCTTTCCCACTGTTGTGTGTTGTCACATCGCGACAAATGCACACAGCCTGACTAT